AGGTGGGTTCTGGGGATTTGAACTCAGGGCTTCACATGTTTTGCCCACCAAACCATTTCCTCAACCCAATTTTGTTAAAGACCAGATAATTCACAACACCCAGATCATATCAGAAAGCACACAGTGGCTAGGGGTGTAGCTCAATGATTAGAAAGATCTGAGCTCAGCCCAGCACCACAAAAACAGAAAAGAGATTATACAGTATCTCCCCTGTGTATCTCATCTCAGCAAGGAGGAACAGCAGTGCTTGGTGGCGCAGGCCTGTAATCCCAGGTACTCAGGAGGCTGAGGCAGAGGATTATTAACTCAAAAGGTATGCCTGGATTACAGAATGAGTTCAAAACTAGTTTAACAAGACCGTGTCTTAGAATGAGAGGTCCGGGAATACACAGCTCAGTGGTAAAAATTCAGTGTAAAAATTATCATCAGCTTGGTGTGGTGGCTCAGGCCAGCCTGGTCTACAGAGTGAGTTCCAGGACAGTCAGGGCTACACAGAGAAACCCTGTGTCGGAAAATTAAACAAACAAAAGAGAGCTATCTTGTTCTCAGGGTCTCTCCCTCCCCTAGTATTCCTTTGGTCTTAATCACGTGATCTTGGGCACATGACCTAACCTCTACTGGTTTGAGCTTCTACCCATAAATTAACAGTAAAACCTTCCTCCCACTGATTTATCAGGCTGTCATCAAGACCAGATAAGATAATCTGTGCTGGTGATACATTCACCCAGTTAACTCTGACCGTGCTGTTGTATTTAATAACAAACAAAACCAGAGACCCCAGGAACTCCCAGCTCCCTTTCCTTTCACAGGGCTATCTCCATCTAACTCTAGACACAGTGCTCCCTTTCCCCCCTTTCCTCCACAGGGCTATCTCCATCTAACACTAGACACAGTACTCCCTTTCCCCCTTTCCTCCACAAGGCTATCTCCATCTAACACTAGACACAGTGCTCCCTTTCCCTCCTTTTCTCCACAGGGCTATCTCCATCTAACACTAGACACAGTGCTCCCTTTCCCCCCTTTCCTCCACAGTACTATCTCCATCTAACTCTAGACACAGTGCTCCCTTTCCCCCATTCCTCCACAGGGCTATCTCCATCTAACACTAGACACAGTGTGCTTGGTATTTGTCTCCCCAGCAGAAAAGGAAGAGACTGGGACAGACTGCTTTCACCACAGCTACACTTCCAGTGCCTGAAGCCTGCACATAGTACACTCGGTATATATTCCCGCACATGGTACACTAGGTATATATTCCCGCACATGGTACACTAGGTATATATTCCCACACATGGTACACTAGGTATATATTCCCGCATATGGTGCACGGTATATATTCCTGCACATGGTACACTAGGTATATATTCCCGCACATGGTATACTAGGTGTATATTCCCGCACATGGTACACTAGGTATATATTCCTGCACATGGTACACTAGGTGTATATTCCCGCACATGGTACACTAGGTATATATTCCCGCACATGGTACACTAGGTATATATTCCTGCACATGGTGCACTCGGCATATATTCCCGCACATGGCATACTCAGTATATATTCCTGTTAAAGAACAGATTGTCAGCCCCAATGATCCGTTTGGAAGCAAACCAAACATTTTGTCATACAAACTGAAAAAACAAGGAAAAATATAATTTCCCTTTTCTAATTAGGAAAAAAGACTAAAGAAACAAATTTAAAAACCTATAAAAAGGGTCAAGCCTGCTGCAACACACCTTTTAATTTCAGCATTTAGTTAGCAAGGCAGATATCTATGAGTTCCAGACCAGCCAAGGTTTTATCCCAAAAAACCCCCCACCTCCTCCATAAGAGCCTATAGATAGGGAAACAATCCAGGAGAAGGTGAGAACTTCTGAGTCAAGATGGAAGCTTTACAGCTATTTCTACTTTATGTTTGTTTAGACTTGTTTTTCTTAATTTTATGTGTATGAGTGTTTGCCTGTATGCATGTGTGTGTACCACATGCATGCAATGCCTTAGAGGTCAGAAGAAGAAAAGGACATTGCATCCCACAGCACTGGAGTTACAGACAGTTATGAGGAACCATATGGATGCTGGGAACTGAACCTGGGCATCTGCAACAGTAGCCAGTGCTCTTAACTGCTGAGTTGTCCTCTATCCAGCCCTACTTCTAAAGAAAATGAAAGGAAACGCCAAGGACCAATGGCGAGCTCTTGATTCTAATGCAGAAGCTATACAATTCCTATATGTAAACTCCTACAACTAAGCTAAAAAGTTTCTGAAGTCAGAACTGTGAGAATTTAACCCAATAAAATAGTAACCAGTATGTCAGCAAACTGGATAATCTAGATGATCCTAGACTATGCACAAATTCATAGAAAAACACAAACTATCTAAACTGACTCATGAAGAAACAAAAAAAAATTGAATAGATTTACACCTAGTAAGTAAACAACAAATCTGCTCAGAGATGGAACTCTTGGTTAGCATGCAAAGTCCCGAGTTCCATCCCAGAAACACAGGAGTTTAAAAAAAAAAAAGGCAGGGGGGCAGGAATATGGCTCAATTGGTAAAGTGCCTGTCACGCAGGCATGAGGACTCATGAGGACCTGCGTTCTGAGAGCCCTGCACCCACGCAGCCATCATAAACCAGGTGGTTTACATCTGTAAGCTCAACACTGAGGGAGGCAAAAATTCAAAGGACCAGCCAGCCTAACCAAAGTGATGAGGTCTAGATTCAGTGAGAAGAGACTATTTTAAAAAAATAATGTGAGCCCTGCCGTGGTGGCACACGCCTTTAATCCTGGCACATGGGAAGCAGAGGCTGGCAGATCTCTGAGTTTGAGGTAAGCCTGGTCTACAGAGTTCCCAGACAGCCAGGGTTACACAGAGAAACCCTGTCGAGAGAGAGAGAGAGAGAGAGAGAGAGAGAGAGAGAGAACACAAAGCAAACAAACAAAACAGCAGCAAAAATCTACAAGGCTACACAATTTAAAATAATGTAAAGCTGGACAAGGTGCCACCTGCCTGTAATACTAGCTCCTCAGGAGAGAATAAAGTAGGAGAATACTGAGTTCAAGGTTAGCCTGGACAACACAGAAAATCCACCTCAAAAACCCAGCAACAAGGAAACACTACCTCTATGTATCTCGTTGCTGGGACTGGTGAGCAGGCTCAGTGGTTAAAAGAGCTTGCTACGAACCCATGAGGACCGGGTACAAATCCAAGCACCCCCATGGTGGGCTGAGAAGGGGCTTGCACTTGCCCATAACCCTTGCACTGTGGACGGGCAGAGACAGGAGTCTCGTCTGCCAACCTACCCCCAAACCAACAAAAACCCCACAAGTTTCCGGTTAGAGGAGAGACCCCGCCTCAAGAGTAAGGCAGAGAGACAGATAAGAATTCGAGTCAAGCCGGAGATCCCCGAGGTCTGGAGCTGAAGGACAATTATGTGATGGCTCTTACACGCTGCCAACACAGAAGCCCATGTGGCTAGCTTTCACTCCCAACTACTTCCCCTTTCGCTTTCTCACAGAGATACAAGGCAGAGTACACAGCTACTCTGGGAGGAAAACAAAAGCCAGCCAAGACTGACCAACCTGGGTTTGGATTTTTTTTTTCCTTAGATTTATTTATTTATTTATTTATTTATTTATTTATTTATTTGGTTTTTCGAGACAGGGTTTCTCTGTGGTTTTGGAGCCTGTCCTGGAACTAGCTCTTGTAGACCAGGCTGGTCTCGAACTCACAGAGATCCGCCTGCCTCTGCCTCCCGAGTGCTGGGATTAAAGGCTTGCGCCACCCCGGCTTAGATTTATTTATTATATATACTGTGTTCTGTCTGCATGTATGCTTGGACGCCAGAAGAGGGCACCAGATCTCATTACAGATGGTTGTGAGCCACCAAATGCTTGCTGGGAATTTAACTCAGGATCTCTGGAAGAGCAGCCAGTGCTCTTAACCTCTGAACCATCTCTTCGCCCCCACCCCACCCCACAGGGTTTCTCTGTAGCTAAGGAGCCTGTCCTGGAATGCGCTCTGTAGAGGGGGCTGGCCTCGAACTCACAGAGATCTGCCTGCCTCTGCCTCCTGAGTGCCGAGATTAAAGGCGTGTGCCACCACAGCCCGGTCTGGTTTTTGATGAAATCGGAAGTGGAGTCTCTGACCTTCCCTACCTGTGGCAGATGTTTTATTTTGTTGAATGATGGACACCGTTTTCTGCCTATATAACAACAGAGCCAATAACTTCCAGCCCCTTAAGCTCGTTCGTTACTGATTTTTCCTACTAGATTTCAAAATAGCCCACAAAAAATGAATGTGTCACTCCCCCACTGGAGACGTGGAAGAAAGCAGGCTCAGAAACATGGACAATTTGTCCCAAGTTTCAGTGTCGAGGGACACAGCCAAAGTGTGCACACGGGTAGTGAATTTTAGAGTTCCTCCTCATTGCTTTGGAAAGACCATCAAGTGGAGATGAATCCAGGCCATCTCCGTGACTAAGGAAAGGCAAGTGCTTCAGAGCCAAGCTGGGAAAGAAAAGGGAGCCTTCTTGCCCTGCAGGCCACCCAGACATCGTTTGGACTTTTGCCAGATCGACTTTTGCCGGCTGTACAACCGCAGCAGTCAGTCACTCACCCTCCTACCCAACGGAGCCCTGATGGGCAGGTGCCAGGAGGCCGGCCCGGGGGGGGGGGGACCCACCAAAAACGTAAAAAACAAAAACAAACAAAGAACCCCAAAACATGTAAAAACTGAAAGCTGTGCTTGCAACAGCAGCACGGACGCCACATCTTGGCAGTCGCGCGAGGACCACTGGCCAAAGCGCACGCGCGAGGTCCGCCCCTGGGCTGAAGAGACAAGCCTATCTCAACAGCAGATCCCAGCGCCGCCCTATCGCGCGCGCATGCTCTGCTCGCGCGGGCGCGCGTCTCGACAAGTGTTTCCCTCGGCCTTCGCCCTCCCGCTCTGACGCAGAACACTGGCCTCCATGCCTGCACCTCCCACTCGACGTCCCTCACCTTGCGCCCGGTTTTCTCCCGGAGGGCCTTCAGCCGTTCTTTCCGCCGCAGCGCCTCCTCCTCGAGGCGGCCCACACCGGCGGCAGTAGCCGCCATCTTACCCGGGGCCCCGCCTTGTCTCTCCGTTTCGCGCAGGCCCAGTGAGCAGAAGAATGCTTGATGGCCAATCCAAGGGCGAGAATGGAGAGCCGGAAGCCCTGAAAACCAATCAATGCTGAGTTGCTACAGCATGCCACGCCCGTTGCTCTGGAGCAACCTGTGCAGCGAGCGAGCCGGCCGGGTGGAGGAAAGGCTCCTTAAATTCGATTTTCCCAACCCTAATCAGTGAGAAAGCAAGTAGAATCAGACCTGAGAGGCAGAGATTAGAGTGAGTCGATTGCTCTGCTTTTGCCTCACCACCACCCGCCTCTCCTGGTCGTCCTCTTGGAATGCTTATCCACTTGTGCTGATTCTTCAAGGAGCGAATGCCTCGAGAAGCATTCCCTGGGTCGGGTGTGGTAGTGTACGTTTATAATTCCAGTACTTAAGAGGCTGAGGTAGCAAAATTATGGGCTCAAGTTCAGTCTGGGTTACGTAAGGAAATCGTCGTAAAACACCACCACCAGACACCAGAAACCCTCCGTGGCCACTCTCCTTCCCACTCTGAGGTCAGTCTCTCTCCTCCAGAGACAGCAGCCAGTGGCACCTCGGACTCGCCTAATGAGTTGCTCCTAAGCCTGTCTGTCCGCACTCTGCTCCAGACCTGCGCAGTTCGAGGCCTGGCTGCATGGCCTTTTCCTTTGAACTCAACAATGGCCTTTCATCCCGTTCTGGGGCAGCAGCATACTCAGGGTCAGGCTCCTGTCTCTGCAAAAAAGCAAACGTCAACCAGGGCCAAGTAAGCGCCACAAAACTTACTCCTTCCTACCAGTTTCTGAAGAGTTTGTGGCTGACAGTCACAGATGCACGCACCCGCTTCCTTCCCCTGCTCCTCTTCCTAGGAGAAGGCCAGCCCATTAGCAACGTTGCTCCCTGCCTGGAGTGTGTACTATAAAGTTGGTCCCTAGGTGAAGGCGCTTCCCTCCCAGCTCCCTTTAAATGCCACAGCTCCCTAACCTCACTGTCTAGGTTAACCTGGCTCAGTCTAGGACGTTTCCCTCACAGTAGGAAAGGGAGTGGCTGTCTGTGCTTAGGAAATGTCAAGTCAGACTAGGATGCTTAGGACAAAAGAATAAGTCGAGAACGTAAGGGTCATCCGCTCCAAGAGTACAAAACAGGACAGGAATAAGGACAAAGTCAGCTTTCTCTTGTCCACCCGCGATCTAGGACATGCCAGGCTGACCAGTTCCTAGGACCAATAGGAAACCCAACAAACTTTCCCCGACTCCTAACAAAGAACCTTATTCCTATCCAACACCAGGTGCTCCCTCACTTCACAAGCAGGCTGGACACAAGGAAAAGGACCCGGTGGAGGTGACAGTGCCCCAGCAAAGATTCAGCCAGGCCTAGGTCCTTTGTTCCTGCTGCCCCTGTGATCCTCCTTCCACCCGGATGGGCCTCAGTTTTTTCCATTCACTAGAATAGGCAGGAGACACCCCCAAGGCATTCTCCCTCAGGTCAAAGGAACAAACAAACAGACAAAGAAACGAAAACAGAAAACGTGACAAGCGAGTACTGGGCCCTGGGAGGAGGGATTCCTAGAGGGAGTGGGACAGATCCTAAACTTGGTTAAGGAGCTCTCCAATGGAAGGACGCCACTCCTCTGCAGGTGGGTGTCCTGCCGTTGCCTGATTCTTCTTTCCATCCAGCCCAGCACTAGGCAGGAACTAAGGGTGGCACTCGTTTTTCATACAGCTCTTGGAACAGAACCTTGCACGTAGTCAGCGCCACAAGTGGTCCTCATGGACGAGGTTATTATTAGTATTTGTTGAAGGACCCTAGTCATCTCCGAGCAAACCGCAGTCCCTTCCTGGAATATCGATAATTCCAAGCCTGATAGATTATACACACCAGGATGGATAACTCAGGAAGCCCTTCCCTGCCCCCTATCCCGGGGAGGCTGGCAATGGTCCTGCCAGAGACTCTCAAAGGACTCTGCCTTCGAGGGGCGTGGCTCTGCGCGACCTCCCGGGCTGCTCTGACCTCAGGCTCCTCCCCCAGCATGACACCCCGCCCTTTGCACAGTCCTGGGAGAGGCGGGGCGGTGGCCGCGGGCGCGACAGACTGCAAAGTGTAGGAAGCCAGGCGGTGGCCGGCAGGCCGGGAGGAGGAGGGGCGTGTAGACTTTGGTGACTGAGTGCGACAGGGTCGGGAGCCGCGGACTTCCCCCAGCAGTACACAACCGCTCCGCCCCGGAGTGACGCCCTCCCGCCCATGGGCCTGGCCCGGGGCAACCGGCGGGCAGCTCGGAGGAGGCGGCGACAGGTGGCGCGCAGCAGGGCCAGAGCCGGGTCAGGCCATGGCCGCCTCGGAGCGGCTCTACGAGTTGTGGCTGCTGTACTACGCGCAGGTGAGCCCATCCCTCCCCTGGTCCGCGAGGCCTCCAGATCCCCGCGCGCGGTGGCTGCTGCACCTGCGTCCGGCGCCGCCACCCCCCCACACCTCCTCCCCGGCCGCAGATAGGCGCGCGCACGCGGGACTCCAGCCCCGCACACACGTGCGTGCCCCAGGCTGGCGGGCTGCCTCGGGTATTTGTGCCAGGGGCACCGTTTGCGGGCACGCACTGTACTGCAAGTCCCCCAGCGACACCGCGCAGCCTCAGGTTACCCTGACCAGTCACTCTTCACCCCTTTCACAACTCGGTAAACTGAGACCTGGGAAGAAAGGGACTCAGTCTGCATGTAGGCTGTTTCGCCTGAGGGGCGCATTTGCGATAGGTGATCGAGGCTAGAATGTCACATAGGTTGGGGGACCCGGCAGGTGCCACTCCTTACTGTAGATCAGACTTTAGTCGCCTCAGACTCTTCCAGAGAAGTACTTAGTGCCGTGCGGAGTTGTTGCTGTACTTGAGGCAACCTTAGTCTACTTCCATTCTGCAGTGGGACAGGGTCGTCGGGAGTGAGGCCAGGAAGGATGTCTGACATGAGCTCCCGGGAGCTCCTGCGATTCAAACTCTATGTGACTGTCACGCACAGAAGCTCCACTTTCCTTCTGCACTGGAAGCAGGGAGTGATCCCGGGGTCACGCCTCCTTCCTTGCACCTGCTTGGCACTAGGTGCCTAGCTCAAGTGTGCCCTGGACACAATGGTCCATTGTCTATCGCTGAACAGCTTGTCACCGGGAGCAGGGATATGGGGAGAGTTCATCCTGAACCCTGGCCCTCTGAGGAGGCTGACTGATGGTCTACGTCTCTTAGGAACGGTATGGTCTGAGTCTTAGGAGCCACAGCTTCTTTAGAGATGGGCTGGTGACCTGTAGAGCCCCACCTAGGGTAACCCAGCCCAAGCTCATTGCACCTCTAAGCCTCTACTTACCTGTCTGTAAAATCAACACAATCTTGCCCTCAGGCCACCTGGACTTTGTGGAGAGGGAGCCAGTGTGGCTGGTATAGGTCAGAAAAGCCTGCCTCCTCTGCATCTCCATCTTCAAGGGGGATGAGCTGGTGAAGAGATGTCACTGGTTTTTCAGGCTGAGTGGTAGGCTGCTGAAGATGTCCTGGGACAGCTTCCTCAGACTGTTCCCTTTCATAGTTGCCAGGCTGAACTCTGTATGGTGATGAGATATTATTAGGACTCCGCTGGCCTGGCGCCTCCTCCCAGATGGCCTCTTAGAGTAGGGCCTAGGTGTGGGATACGAGCTGGCTGCTTATAGTCTTGGAAGCCTGGACAGGCAGGGGGCAGCCTGGGACCAAGCCAACTAATAAATCCAGGATGTGAGAGCAAAACCAGGAGAGTTGGGTGGGGCCAGGCTGGCTGGGGAGAGGAAGCCAGGCAGCCTCCCAGTGCAGCCTTCCTGCCTGCTCCCACAACACTGTCCCACCCCTCGGTGCTGGGTTCCGAAGGAGAGATAGTGCTACTAGGGACCCATTGTGTTTGTGTCCTGGGGTGTGTAAGGCAAGGATGGAGCCAATGGGTGTTAAGAGACTCTCAGTGCCAAGTGTGATGGCATATGCATTCGATCCCAGTATGAGTGAGGTTGGAGGCAGGAGGATTGCCGAAAGTCTGAGGCCCTTCCTGGGCTACAGACTTTTGAGACTTGTCTCAAAAGGAAAGCAAAGAAACCCCTTTTGTTGGTCACCAGCCGGCCAGCCATCAGCACAGGTGGCCCCTCCCTTCCGCAAGAACTGCCTACCATCTGTTGGGAAACCTGTTTCCCCAGTTGTGGGTCTGGGTGAGGACAGGGAAGTCGCCCCATTCCTGTCCTTCCTTTCCCCTAAAAGACCCTAGATTGCATGGATAGACATGCCTTCTCTCACCTAAATGGACTCTGTCCTCTTAGTGGGCTCTGGAAGGAGATGGGGGAGGGGCAGTATCAATGTGCCCCTGGATATTACTTAGTTGGAGTTCCTCAGGGTTCTCTTGGGGAAATCAAGGCAAGATCATCAGTAGGGTTCCTTTAGCCACCAGAGCTTTAGCCTGAGGTCAGGAAGCCTAATGTGGATCTTTACCTGGGACAACACCTGTGGTTTCCTCTGCTGGGAGCCTATCTTAATCTTCACCGTGCTTGCCACTCCACGGCTCCCGTAACCTAACATTCAGTAAGTGTTCCCTGGGTGTTATCCCCATAACTGCAGGAGAAGTTAATGCCCAGGGCAGTGACCAATCAGAAAGCTATCCCAGAGCAGGCAGAGGTGGGATTCTGAGGGCTGAAGGCCAGGAACAACAGGAACGAGCAATGGAAAGTATGAGAAGCAAGCTTTCACCCAGGCATGGTGGCGTGGCATGTCTGTCTGCCTGTCTGTCTGCCGCCCCACCCCCCAATGCTTGGAAGGCAGAGGTAGGCAGATCTCTTGTGAGTTCCAGGCCAGCCTGGTCTACAAAGTGAGACCCTGTCTGAAGGAGAAGCAGCAAGTTGTCAGAAGCACAGAGCAGGGCAGGGCTGCCATGGTGAATGGTGGAGCTCAGCTAGTATCGTGTCCCCAAGAAATGGGAGAAACACGGGAGAACAGGAGACCGGGACAGCACCTGGAGCGGGCACTTGGGAAACATGTAAAAGTTAATGCAAAATAGCATGTAAATGAGCAGCCCCTTTGCAGGCAGCAGCAAGGCTCACTAGCCCCCCCCCCCCCACTGATGGCGGAGCTGAGGGTCAGAGTGTGGCAGGACAGGGATTTATGGCCAGTTATGCCATTGTGGAAGGATTCAGAGGTGATGTCAGAGTAGAAGTTCTTAGTTTTGCTCACTTTTCTCTCTGGTCTCTTATCTTGTCCCATGATCCTTCCTGCCTCATGAGAACTTGACCAGGCCTCTCTGTTCCTCTAAAGCCTTAGCTGGATCCTATTTCCTGGACCTCAGTTTACCTCTCATGTGCGTGTGTTTGTGCGTGTACATATATACTTGTGTGTGTACATGTGGAGGCCAAAGAAAGATATCATGTGTCTTCCTCAATCGTTCTCCAACTAATTTTTAAAAAGATTCATATACTTTTATTTTATGTGTATAGGTGTTTTGCCTGCATGCATGTCTGTGTGTTATATGTATGGCTGGTGTCCACAGAGGCCAGTAGAGGGCATTAGATCCCCCGGAAATGGAATTACAGACAGTTCTGAGTCACCATGTGGGTGCTAGGAATTGAATCCAGGTCTTCTGGAAGAGCAGCCAGTGCTCTCTCCAGTCCCTCCACCTTATTTATTTGTTTAGACGGGGTCTCACTGTGTAGCCCCTGATGGTCTGGAAGTGATTATGTTTGCCAGGCTGCCCTTGAGCTCAGATGTCTGCCTGTCTCTGCCTCCTTGGTGCTGTATCTAGTTTCTAAAAGCACATCTCAAAAATGTTTAAATTTGTGTGAGAAAGCGCACGTATGCCACAGTGTACGCGTGAAGGTCAGAGGACAACATCCAGGAGGAGCTCTACCACGTTGGTCCCAGGGATTGAACTCGGGTTGTCAGCCTTGGTGATAGGTGCCTTTACCTGCTAAGCCGTCTTGTCAGACCTCCACTTAATTGATTAAGCTAAACTGGCCAGCGAGCTTAAGGGATCAGTCTGTCCACACCCCACCCCTTCCCTTCCCAGAGCTGAGGTTGTAGATGCGCACCCTGGCTTTTGTGGGTGCTGGAGAATGAAACTCCTGCTTGTGCAGCAGGCACTTTACTGACTAAGAGTCCTAGTTCTCTCATTTACTTTCTTTTCCTTGTGGTTTGTTTGTTTTGTTTTGTTTCCTGAGACAGGATTTTTCTGTGTAACTGCTCTGGCTGTTCTGGAACTTGCTCAGTAGACCAGGCTGGCCTTCAACTAAGAGATCCACCTGCCTCTGCCTCCCTAGTGCTGGAATTAAAGGCGCGCACCACTGCTTGGTTCTTATTTACATTCTTAAATGGGCAAATGTACCCAGCTCTTGGTCCTTTTCACACCTGAGGGGCACCTAGAGTTTCTTCCTTCCTGCTTTTTGTTGCTAAGGCTATTGAAGAAGGAGGAACATTAGTGATAGAAAAAATTAGCATAGAACCTGGGGTTAGGGGGAAAGGCTGGTATCCTTGGGGTTGTTATGACAACTGAGGAGCTGATGGGGAAGTGTGGGATCCCCATGGAAACAGGGTCAGTTACTATGGGGACCATGGCAGGAAATTCTCAGTTTCCATAGTCACAGGACAAGGAAAATGGCTAAGTATTGAAGGGTGTTATGGGGACCAATTAGGTCCACTCCTCTTAGTACTGCTCTAGGTAAGGGGCCAGAGACTGGTCTGGACACCTAGGCACTACACCACTATGCTCAGTTACTTCCTGGAAAGCTCCCTGGAAGAGTTGCCATCTTCCAGCTTCATCCTGTAGCCTATAGTTCTTATAACATAGCTCAAAGCCACTTATGGCCTGACATTACACTCTCTCCTCTTAATGCTGTAGGAGAATTTTTGGGTTGAGAAGCTATCTTGTCCAGACCTATCCAACCCTATTTCTTCCTGTCTGTCCCTGAAAGTGGAGGTAGCTCTGACTGAGGTATCACCCAGTATTGAATTGTGATCCCTCTCCCCACTACTTGGAGCTCTTCTTCCCTGGGGATCACATCTTAGGCCTTTGAGGCCTAAGGCAGCAAACCGGAAACTACCCTGGAGGCCTCAACTCTGCACTGAACCATGGGATGCCTCTTGCTTTCACTCATAGACAGGGATGAGGATGTTGTCCTATAATGCAGGAATTTGGGCTGAGCAGAGCCCCAGTCATCCTGCCCTTTGCAATGCTGGATGGTGTGGCTGCCACTGAACAGACTGTTATAAAGAGATAGTTGAGGCTAAGTTTGGTGACACACTCTTTTAATCCCTGCCCGTGAGACAGAGGCAGGCAGCTCTCTGTGAGTTCAAGGCCAACTTGTTCTACACAGTGAGACCCTTCTCAACTCCCCCTTGACTCCACAAAAAGAGATACTGAAGCCCAGAGAGTTTTATGTCAAGTAACAGGCTACCCATTAAATGGGGTCTGGGTCCCAAAATTCATACTGTCAGCCACCAATTCTGATCGAGGGCGCTTCTGAAAAGGACACATGGGAAATACAGTGGATACTGCCCAGTGGGATGGGAGCAGCAAGCCATGCCCTTGGACTAGTGGGTTCGGGGAGCTGAGGCTGGAGCTGAGGGCATCACCTGTGCAGAGCCTCGGATGTCGGAGGAAACCACTGGAGTGCTCTGAAGATGGAGCCTGTGCCAGAGCAGTGACTGGTCCAGTGTTGTCTGCTGCAGGCCCGTACTGGGCGTAAGTGTGTGCTCAGCTTCAGAGGCAGTGTGGTGTCAGGTAACCTAGTGGTCCCTGTCCCTCTGGTAGAAAGTTTCCTCCTAATGCCACATGGACGTGCCCTGAGCCCACCAGAGTTCTAAGAGGGGCAGTTCCGTGCCCCAGGAACCATCTGTACCTCCCTAGCTCTTGGGAGCTCTTCCTCCCAGTATTCTTTGAGTGTATTCGGGGCTGGCTGGGGACAGGTTGAAATGATGGCTAGTTAGCATCCATCCTTCTAGGGACAGTGACATCTATTTTCTCCCCTGTAGCAAGACCCAATATTTCCTTACAGGCTGACGGGCTCTTGGGTGGACTTGGCCTGTGTGGTTGTTCCTCGTCTGTCCTAAGGTTCCCTTCAGAACTGGAGAGGGCTGGAAGAGCGAGTGAGGCAGAGGCTCTCAGGTAGCAGGGCACACCTCAAGCGCTACAGCCACACCCTCAGGCTCTGGAGCCTGCCACAGCCAGCACAGCCAGCCTGCTCCAGACCCTGCTGCGACCTTCTGACGACCCCCACCACCACCACTCAGAATCTGACATTTAGTGCTGTTGCTTCAAACAATGGAATTCAGGTCAGAGCTGGCCTGGGGCTTCCTAGGGAGAAGGAGTGAGGCCTAGAAGAGAGGGACTGGCAGCCTCTCCTGTCACTAGTCCTGTGTTTTTGTCTCTTTCACGCCCCTTCAGAGCCCATGAACCCTGCCTTGATTGGCCTAGCCCTGAACCTCGCTCAGCCCGAT